TTTTCAGAGGCAGTAAATCACGTGGGAAGAGATAGCCCATCCTTCTCCTGTGCCGCAGCTGATGAATTTGAACCAACCAAGAAGAACATCATGCTTGGAAGGGTAGAGGGTCAATGTAGGAGAGGAAGACCCTGGAGGCGATGGATTGACACAGTGACTGTGGCAATGCGGGGTAGGTGTGTCAGAGACAGTGCGATTAGCTCAAGATAGGGCAGGGTTTAGAGCAGTTGTTTACAGGGTCGCTATGAGCTGTAGTCAACTTGATGGCACATAACATTTGGGATTGCAGTGCAATGAAATGGTACTTGTTCTTTCCCTTCTTTGGACTTAAGGTACTTTGTAATTACCTGGTTTTTCAAGAGCTTATTTGTCTAAAAGTTCGTCACACTGCTGAGGCAATTTTTTAAACATTTAGCTGCTAACCAAATAAAGATTTGAACTCACCAGCCGTTCCAAAGGAGAAAGACGAGTTAGTCTGCTTTCCTGATGAGTTCTAGACTTGGGGCAATTCTACCCCATCCTACAGAGTCACTTTGAGTTGAAATCAACTTGATGGTGACTTAGGTGGTAGTTTTCGCCTTTGCTTAAGAGCTACCGTCCACATCTTTCTGATTGATCCGCCTCACTTACAAAAAGGAGCTGTGTATGTGTTTTTCATTCATCATTTCCTGTGTCCAGTGCAATACTTAACACTGAGGATTAACGCTTAACATTAACACTGACAAACATGGTCAGTGCTTATAGAATGAATGAGGGAGGACTGTAGGAGGGATTATAGGTCTCTCTTGGGAGAGCTTGGGAGAGACCAATCTAAGTGTCCCTGAGTCCATGACTCTGTTTGACAATATCTATTCTTCCAACAGTTAAGAAATGGCACCTGTTAGTTTCCAAAAACCCAAGGTCTCCCTTCCTAATTCTCTGAATCTCAGTTTCTTCATCTGCAAAGACGAGAGTGCTTATCGTAGGGGTGCACAATGGAACTTGACTGTATTCAATGGAACACAGCGTGTGGTTCATTGAACAAATAGCACCTGTCAGTAATGTTGTTATGTGCCCTTGAGTCGCCTGCCACTCATAGCAACCTTATATACAACAGCCCTAAACCCTGCTTTGTCCTGTGCCAATCTCACTGTCTCTGACACAACTCCTCCCAATACCCAAGTCACTGAATCAATCCATCTCATTGAGGGTCTTCCTCTCCTGCACTGTCCCTCCACCCTCCCAAGCATGACATCCTTCTCCAAGGACTGGTCTTCTTTGCAACATGCCCAAAGTATTTCAGATGAAGCTTCAGATTCCTTGCCTTCAATGAACAACCCTGTTTAACTCTCTCCAGGATGAACCTGTTCATTCTTTTTGCAGTCCATGATATATTAAATACTCTTCTCCAACACCACAGCTCAAAGGCATCAATTCTCCTTCTATCATCCCTAGTCATTGTCCAGCTCTCTGACACATAGCAAGTGATTGCAAAGACCATGGCCTCTATCAGGTGCACCTTAGTCTCCAGACTGACATTGTTGCTCTTCAGTACTTTGGAAAGGTCTCTGACAGCAGACTTCCCCATCACAATACATCTTTTACTTTCCTGGCTGCTGGTACCAAGAGTGTTGATTGTGGAGCCAAGCAAACCAAAGCTGTGAACAATCTCAATCTCTTCACCATCTATCATGATGCTGCCAATTGGCCCAGTGGTGAGAATCTTCATTTTCTTGATATTGAGCCTCTATCCACATAGAAGACTACAATCCTTGACGTTCTGCAGCAAACGCTTCAGGTCCTCCTCAGTTTTAGCAATAGAACGTAGGTGATATATTGCCTTATGTTAGGGAGCTAAGGGAGGTCTGGTGGCACAGTCCATGTCAGGAGTCACATTGCTAAACCAAAAGTAGCACGTCTCTGGGGGTTTGAATCCACTAGCAGCTCCAAGAAAGAAAGATGGACAACCAGTCCTTGAAAACCTGCTGCAAGGTCAACCATGAGTTGGTCCCAATTCAATGGCAATGAGTTTGGGGGACTTTTGGTGTTTTTAGTGCAGTAGACGCCAGCTCTGCTTGCCCTCTTTCCCTCTCAAGTAATATACCAGTTGCCACCAACTTGGTTCAGACTCATGGTGACCACACATTTGTCAGGGTAGAACTACGTTCTGCAGGGCTTCCAGAGACTGGCTTTTCAGAAGCGGAACACCAGAGCTTTCCTCTGAAGGACCTCCTGGTGCACTCAAACCTTCAACCTTTTGGTTCATAGCCAAGAGCGTTAACTGTCCCACGAAGAAATGGCCCCACGCTATCTCAACTCCTCTAACTCATCGCTAATCAGATGGAACCAGCTCCTAATTGATCCACTATTGGGTTTCCAAGGCTGTTAAGTCTTAGGAGAGAAGACTGTCCGTCTTTCTCCCAAGGAGCCACTGGGGAGTCCAAACCACAAGAGAGACATGGCCTTTGAACCACCAGAGAGGCGTTACCATTGGCTTAGCCTCGCAGTTCCCTTGAGCTATGGCACCAGAGTAATCATATAAAGTAGCTAATAATGTAGTTAAAATGAATAGACCTGGTTATTCTTTATCTCTCAGCCTTTCGTCCTGGACTCTCCTCTCTTCTCCTCTCCCTATGTTTTATACGGGAATGATCTCATCCAAGTTCACAGCTATAAATAACTTTGCTCACGAGGCCATGACTCTGCTCGCTGACACCCTCCACAGTGAGATGTGACACCTATTCATTTCCAAAGACCTGAGTTCCACCTCCCGACCTCTCTGCACCTCAGTTTCCTTGCCCAGTTTTCTCTTCACGTCCAACTTCTCCCCTGAGTGTCAACTGCCTCGCTGACATCCCTCTCCTGGTCACCTTCAAGGCACCTCAAATTTACCCTGGCTTGAACAAAACGCTTCCCTGCCCACACTCAGCCTGTCTCTCTCTCCATCTCTCCCAATTCAAAGCAAGATGCCTACTTTATCACAACGAATACCTGAAGTCAGCCTTGTGTCTTCTCTTTACCGTCCATTGTATATCATTAAGTCCTTCTGGTTTAATCTCAAAACACAAGGTTTTCAATCTCCCTCCATTCCTACTCTCAATCAACCCTGGTCCAAGACATCATCTCATGTCACTAGATGACCACAACAATCCCCCCATTTGACCCCCTTAGCTCTCCCCTTGCCCAGCCCTCTCTCAAAGTGCTAACTACGTGGTCTTAGAACGTAAACCAAACAGTGCTGTCTTTCATTGCACATAGAATTAAATCCCGATTTATAAAAAAATTCTACAGGGCCTTACATAATCTTATGCCCCATTAGAAACTTTGTTCTTGAAAAGCAGCGTTATTCACCATCGCAAGAACATGGAAACAGCCCAAATGTCCAACCACAAATGAATGGCTTGAGAAATTATGGTACATTCACACAACAGAATATATAGCAATAACTTTGTAAATTATGACCTAACTTGGGAGGCACTGGAGAGCATTATGCTGAGTGAACTAACTCAGTCCGATAAGGATAAATATTGTATAAAACAGTTATTGTAGAATGAGTCTAAGAATCCAGGAGGGGTTGGGAGAGGCTGGAAGCAGAGGGATGTGCATGTGTAGTGGGAAGGGGGGATTAATCATTGGGCTGTACAATTTGATGGGTGGAGGGGCTGAGGGAAATGGAAAGAATTTGTTCCAATTTGTATTTGAATTTTGTAAATAAACCAGTTGTTGTTGTTGTTAAGTGCCTTCGAGTCATAGGCGACTCATAGCGATTCTATGAACAAAAGTCCTCAACACTACATAAACGAGTAGAGAAAGGAAGGAAGGAAGGAAGGAAGGAAGGAAGAAAGGAAGGAAGGGAAAGAAAGTAAGAAAGAGAGAGAGAGAGAATGAAGAAAGAAAGAAAGAAAGAAAGAAAGGAAGGAAGGAAGGAAGGAAGGAAGGAAGGAAGGAAGGAAGGAAGGAAGGAAGAAAGAAATTTTACTTGCTTCTGGATCCCAAACAGTGACTAGCTTATACTAAGTCTTCAGTTAACGTTGAGAATGAGAGGGTCAGGTGGTTCTGTGATGGGACAGGGGAATGCATTTGTCACCTCAAGCCTGTTATCTCCAAGACACCTTGAGGGGGTGTCAAGCTGCAGTTGCTCTGTACACGCAGGGTCTAGACTCACGGTTTTTTGCAATGGGCAGCAGTGAGGACCCACTCCCGGTGGACAAGGACCCCTCCGCAGAGCAAGTGGCCTGAGTGGTAGAGAGCAGCTTGGTAGGGGTGAGAGTTCTTGGCACACGTCGAGCCTTGCACCAGCTTATCCTTCTCCTCTGCCCAGACTGAAGAAGAGAGTGTCCGAGTCAAAGAGCGTGTCTAGATCCCAAACTGAGCCTCAACCCCGTCTTGACTGTCAAGATCATCTCCATCTTTACCGTCAGACGTTCTTCATTCCAGTCTCCAAATCCAACTGCGTCCTTCTCACCCTTGAACCCCTTCTCAATCCATGTCCCCATCAATCAAAGCCCATTCCGTTCTTTAATTCTTCTCTGTATTCCGAACACTTCTATCCCCTTCTCTGTCTATATTTCCTTCTCCAAAGTTATCTTCATCCCCAAGCCCACTTCTCCCTTTCCCATTTGTCTCTCCATGCCCAGAATCAACCGCTCTTTGCAACTGTGTCCCTATTTTTTAAACCATTCCTTTCCTGTCCCCCAAACCATCCCTGTTCACAAACTCTTTCCAGTCTTCAACCCTCCTCCTCCTCCTTCCTCAATTCTATCTTCATCTCTAAAGCTAAGCTCACCCCCCTTCACATCATTATTTCCTATCTGTGTCCCCAAAGCCAGCACCACCCTCAACCTCTTTCCTACCTTCAAACCAACTTCCCGCCTATTTCTCAATCTGAATCTCTCTGTATCTGCAATTCCCCATCTATTCCCATCAGCAAAACTCCAGCTCCAAGCCTTCCTCATTCCCTCTCCCTTTCTTCCCACCTGCGGAGATCAGAACCAGCGTTAGAATCAGCATCTTCGAAGCCATTCCTGAGAGAGGAAGCCAGAAGTTCAATTAGTCAGGATCTCAGACTCCACCCAAGACCCCTCCCTCGTCTTCTTCCTCATCCTCCCCTTCCTCCCTGGCCCTGTTAAGTTCCCTGACTCTTGATTTATGTCCCCGTGCAGGCTTTTGAGATCTCCTTTCCCCACCTGTGTCTTCTCTCTGAAGGTCTTAGGAAAATAGGCATCAGGAAAGAATGTCTGAAGCCACATAGTAGGAGTTTTCTACTTCTCTGGCCTCTAATTCACCTTCCTGGTAACAGGAAGAGATCACCTCCATATTTGCACCCAAAAGTGTCTAGGGAAACCTTTAGCTTGCGTGCTCCAAATTTCCCCTCAACCCCTCCGTTCTGTGCTCCCCTGGGTCCCCACTCCTAACACCTGTAGCTTCTGGGACACGGGGTGAACCAAGGACAGCATGATCTTACCTGCTGATTGCCTGCTGGGTGAAGCACAATATCACAGGCAGGCGGGGTGTCAGAAAGGCAGGGAGCCACAGGGAGGGGCGAGGCTCGGAGAGCAGGGAAGACACCTGAGAATCAGAGGCCGAGCCTGCAGGTGAGAGGGGAGGCTGGAGGGGAGGAGGTGGAGGAAGCCAGCCTTGAGGGACTGTGCCTCCGGAGACGCTGATAGAGTTCCCAGACTCTCCAGCTGCTTTTAACCCCAGTCTCCCCAGGTTCCTGAGGCTGGCTCCACCCTTTTCCTCCTTACCCACACTTCCCACACACATTCCTACCACCCCCATAGCTCTGTTCTGCTGACCCCCTGACCGATGTCTCTAGGGAGGGGGACACTGATCCCTGAGTGAGAGGCATAGATCCCTGAGAGAAGGCTGGGGGTCTAGGCTTCTCAGAAGGGTGGGGAGAGGGGACTGGGGACCTGGACACCTAAGTCTGAAGGGAGAAGGAATGGGGAGCCTCCTCCTGGCTCTGAGGAAAGAAGGAATTGGGGCCTGGGACTTCTGTGTCTGAGAGGCAGAGGGGGAATTCCTCGGTTGGAAGGAAGAGGCTTGTTCTTATCATTGAGTCAGAACCGACCCATAGTTGACTCTCCAGCGGGTTTTCAGAGACTGATAGCCCACAGGAGGAGACTGCCTGTCCTTCTCCCTCCAGGAAGGGGCTGGAGGTTTAGAATTCTGGATCTCAGCGAGAGAGACCATGATCTGGGCTCGAGCATCTGAGGGGGCCAGGGCTGGAAGACTGGATTTCTGGGTCTGAGAGAGGAGGTGCTAGGGTTCCCAGACTCTAAATTTGACGGAGAAAGGAGCTAGAATAGAGGACTTGGGAGGTAGACTCTGGACTCATGGATCTGAGGAGAGGGGGGACTCGAGACCAGGGCTCCTGGGTCAGAGAGAGAAGAGGGGCTGGAGACCTGCTGACTAGGTTTGAAGTTGGAGTTAAGAGGGAACCTGATTCCTGAATCTAGAGAAGAAAAGGGTTCATGTGGGGGACTAATATTGGGGCTGAGAGTGGAAGGCCTGGAATATTCTGGGTCTGCGTGAAGAGGGGGCCGGAGGTCCAGACTTGGGGTTCTGAGACAGGAAGAGACAGAGGGCATCAAACCCTGGGTCATCTAAAGCAAAGGTGCTTCCAATCTGAATGAATGGAAATCCAAAGTCTCTGTTAACTTTCATCAAAATTAATAACAGAAAAAGGGGGAGAAAGGTCAATAAAACATCAGTTGACCTTCGAGACACACATTTTTAAAAAAGTAAATAAAAAAAAAAGCTGAACTTCTGGGGTCTGAAAGACAGTGAGATGGGCCCCGCCCCACCCTCAAGCCTCTAGTCTTTTAAAGGGAGCTCCGGTGGCCTAATGGGTAAGGAGTTGTGCTGTTAAGGGCAGACCAAGGGCAGGCAGTTCGAACCTTCCGGCTACCCCAAGGGAGAAAGGTGGGTCATCTTCCCCTGTGTGATCTGTAGCCTCTGAAAACCCACTGGAGGGTCAGGTTCAACTGGACAAAAGAAACTGTCTATGGACTCAAACGTTGACCTCTCAGGCCAGCGAGTGGGCAGCTCCTTCCCCAAGAGCCCCCCACTTCCCCCATCGGTGAGCCCTACAGGCCTGGGACACTAGGAACCGTGCCACCCGGGTTCAATGGGGTCAGACTGACTCACGTACCTGGTGGGAAGTCCCTCTGCACGCAGGCGACCTCGGTGTCCCCGGGAGAGAGAGCGCGCGCACCGGGCCAGGGCGCATGAGAAAGTGTGTGTCACGGCGGCCCGCCCCTGCCCGGGGCTGGGGTGCAGACCAGGCGCTGGGCGCAAAAGAGCCTCTAACAATCAGCCTTTGTCCGCCCCCAGCGCCCCAGTGCCATGCTCCCCGCAGCTCCGTTTCTCAACCTCTCTTCCGGGAGGGCGGTCACTTCAATAGCTTCCTTTTTGGTCCTCCTGCTGGGCTGCCCGCTGGCTGCCCACTGGCCTCTCTGGCCTGGAAACTGCAGGAGACGCTAGTGGCGCTCCTCCACTTCCGCCCAGGCCTGGAGGTCACTCGCTCCATCCCTCTCTCCCTGGGCAGGGACTGCAGTGGCCACGTCTCCACGTCTGTCCTTGCTGCATTTTCTGCACGCATCCCAGGCTGCCTTTGATTGTGTGTCTCTGACTGTTTTTTTAATGTCCACTCCTTAAAGTCCTTGCAGTCTCTCTTCTTCCTTCGCTCCCTCTCTCTCTGTCTCTTCTTCCTTTTTCCTCTTTATTGTTTTAAAATCCCTTGCCCTCTTCCTTCCCCATTCATTCTTTCTCCCTCTAGCCACCTACTTTTACTCATTCATTCTTTCTTTCCACTTCCCCTACCTCTCACCACTCATCCAGCGCTCTCTCTCTCTCCTTCCCTCTCTCCCTCCCTCCCTCTTTCTCTCTATGAATCTTTATTTTTTCGTTTATTTCTCCCTTCTTATAAAAATTCCCTTCCTCGCCCTGCAGTCCCAGAGGTGTGCAGTTCGAATCCACCAGATGCTCTGCTGGAGAAGGAGGGACAATCTCCTCCTGTACCAGTCAGATCGGATTTGACAGACAGTACACGCACAAAAAATACTAAAATAAAATAAGAAAAAACCCTTTCCCTTCCTCTGTTCCTCCCGCACGCCTTTGTTCCACATCTTTATTAATTCCCTTATCCTCTCTTCTCTCTCCAGCTGCCTTTGTTCCTCTCCCTCTTTCTCCCTCTCCTCCTCTCCTCTCCCTTTCGATCTCCTTGAAAAACAAGTTTAGTATCTGTATTGGGATTGCATTGAATATGTGGATTGCTTTTGGTAGGATTGTCATTTTCACAATATTGAGTCTTCTATCCATGGACACAGCACATGTCCCCGTTTCTTTAGGTCTTTTATTGTGTCTTGCAGAAATGAAGTGGAAGGTACAGCACTCCCTGACCTCAAAACTTCTTTTTTTAAAAAAAGAAAAAAATAACTGTAGCCAGAATGCTTTGTAGAAGCATAGGTAGAAAAAAACGAAACCAAAAAAAAAAAAGAGAAAGAGAAAAGAAAAGAAGCAGCAGAGGTGTCAAGATGTCATCTCACATACTTTGGGCATATTACCAGGAAAGGCCAATTCCTGGAGAAAGAAATTATATTTGGTAAAATAGAGACGGTCAATGACAAAGAAGATACATTCACTGAGATGGACTAACACAATGACAGCAGTTATCGGCTCAAGCGCAGCTGTGACAATGAGAATGAAGCCAAACTAGGGCCAGGCTGCGCTCTGTTGTACGTTGTAGGATCAGAACCAACTTGAATGCACCCAAGAAGAACAATAACTCAGGATAGGGACTTGAGGACTTTCTCACAAATTCATGGTTATGAAAAGGAAGAAAAATGTGAGGAAATCAAAGATGGGCAAGGAAGTATCTTGAGAAATAGAAATGTGGAAAACAACTGTGAGATATCATCCCACCCCAGTCAGAATAGCAAAATTTAACAGAGCAGCAAACGTCAAATGCTGGCTAGGTTTCGGAGAAACTGGAACCCTTATTCACTGTTGGTGGGAGTGTAAAATGATGCTACCACTGTGGAAGGCAGTATGGCACTTTCTCAAAAAGTTACAAATGGAAATACCATTTGACCCAGCAATTCCACTACTGGGAATATACTCCAAAGAGACCATAACTGACATCCAAGCAGATATATGCACACCCATGTTTATTGCGGCTTTGTTTACAATAGCAAAGAAATGGAAACAACCCAAGTGCCCATCAAAAACCAAATGGATAGAGAAGCTGTGGTATATTGACACAATGGAATACTATGCTGCGTTGAAAAACAAGGAACTCATGCAATATCATTCAAAATGGGTGACCCTAGAGGACATGATGCTGAGTGAAATATCTCAGTCACAAAAGGACAAATATTGCATAGGGCCACTGTTGTACAACAGGACTGACAACGGGATTAAGGGGAGACTGAGAAAGAGGGAATAAATAATATATACTGCATTGAAACAGATGACGGAGAGAACTGTTTAAAAGGGATATATGATTGGGTATTATTGTCATGACAGGAGTCCAGAATGAAGGCTGCACAGTGGAGGGGACTAGAAGGGAAGGATTGCATAATAATGAAAGAATTTTTCTTTTCTTTTTCAAAGAGAAGCGTGAATCGGAGGGGAGGGGTGAGCAAGGAGAAAAATGCTACAGTGAAATGAATGGAAATCCAAAGTCTCTGTCAACGTTCAGGAAAATTAATAATAACGAAAAAGAAAGGAATAGAAGTGAGGGTAGCTATGGCCCAAGGGATCCGTAAAGATTTGAGATGGCCCTTTGGAAGCCAGGTGTTAGAAGGAAAATGACCGGGAAGTTGTTGTTGTTAAGTGCCCTCGAGTCTCAGGTGACTCATAGCGACCCTATGAAGGAGAGTCCTTGACACTTGGGTGCCTTTCATCCTCTCTCCAAGTTCATAGGGTTTCCGGAGGCGAGCTATTACGGAAGTGGAAAATCCTGGGGTGTCTGAGGAGCAGCAGGAAGTCACTGGACTAGAAGAGCGAGGAGGTGT